TCGGAGGTCCATCGTCGGCCACTTGGCTGTGAAGCAGCGCGCTCTCTGAAAATGCGCTGTCTCTGTGTAGAGCAGACCCACGGTGGCCTCCTGCGAACGTGTCTTGTAGAGGGCAGAGCCCTGTGAGATTGATATTTAGAGCGGCGAGCCGCGAATCTGTGGATTCATATTGTAGAGGGCAGCACCCTCTGTGGATTCATATTGTAGAGGGCAGCACCCTCTGTGGATTCATATTGTAGAGGGCAGCGCCCCCTGTGGTACAGTGTTGTAGAACACATCGCAGTCTCTATGTCTCCATGGACGTGAAGCGTGACAGGTTCGAATCGAATTCTTGAAATTAATTATTCCATTCTAATTAATGAATTAATTGCCGTGGCGACTTTAACGAATGTAAGCCTGAATCGTTAATCTAACCGCTTGCTCTTCTGCGCCTCGCTTTTTCCCAGAGAGAAGAAGGAGGAGAAGAAGGAAGGCGACGAGAAGCCGGTCGAAGAGGGCGCCACCGAGGCCGCTGCCCCTGAGAGTGAGAAGAAGGAAGAGCCGGAGAAGAAAGCCGAGGAGAAGAAACCTGAGGAGACGGTGAAGCCGGAAGAGAAGAAGCCTGAGGCGGAGGCCGGCGGCGAGAAGGAGGGAGAGAAGCCCGCGGCAGCGGCGGCCGGCGGAGACGATGCGGCGGTGGAGAGGAAGGTGTCGGCGCTGTGCCTCGCGCGCGGCGCCGACAGCCTGTACGTCGGCACGGAAACGGGCGACGTTTACGTCATCGACGTGGCGACGCTCACGCCGCGCGAGCACGTGATCTACGCCGACGTCGTCGCGCAGAACGCCGGCGACGAGCTGAAGGTCAACCCGGGGTCGGTGGAGGTCATCCTCGAGCATCCGACCGACGCCGACAGGGTGAGCTTCGCGTCACCGCGGGGCAGGGTAAAAAATACACGGGAGCGATGAGCGATTCGCGCTTCAAACCTCCGAAATCGCTCCCGTGAGACTCAAAATAGCTCCCGTAAAATTTTTGACGGGAGCTATTTTCCCACTTTGAAAAAGAGCCGTGAAAAAATGAGAAATTTTCCTGCTGCGGAGGGAGTAGGGGTGGCGGGTCGGGGATGTTGTCCGGGGTCATGTGAAGGTTAGTAACAGGGGTCGTGTCAAGGTTAGTATCGGGGATCATGTGAAGGTTAGTAACAGGGTTCGTGTCAGGGTTAGTGTCAGGGGTCATGTGAATTTTAGTAAACAGAGGTCGTGGCAGGGTTAGTATTGGGGGTCATATGAAGGTTAGTAACAGGGGTTGTGTCAGGGGTCATGTGAAGGTTAGTAACAGGGGTCGTGTCAGGGTTAGTATCGGGGGTCATGTGAAGGTTAGTAACAGGGGTCGTGTCAGGGGTCATGTGAAGGTTAGTAACAGGGGTCGTGTCAGGGTTAGTATCAGGGGTCATGTGAAGATTAGTAAGAGGGTGAGACACGATTTAGACACGGATAAAGATTTAATGAATTAAGCAAGACCTTGAGCTCAAGTATTATCGGGTTATAAACACAATAAAATCACATAGGTCAGACCGAAGGCTACTAAATGTTTGATGAATGTTGCGGTTTTTAGTCAGAATCTCATGCCTATGATACACTCCTGTTTAATGCCATACACAATTTAAATTCACATATACGTACAACAACTGCAATATTAAAAGGAAAATCAAAAGTTAAATTTCATTATTACCTACCATGCCTGTCACGTGCGAACCCAGAATTACCACTGCTGCTGCATGTGCTTACCTGGTTAAATGTTGACTCGAAAGGATGATCGGAGTAAGACTTACTTGTGTATT